GTGACGCTGGCTGACCGGGTGCCTCCGTACTGGCCCTGAGTGCAAGCCGCTTTGCAAAGGGGTGTCAGGCGTACGCTCCCCCTTGGAACCCAGCAACAATCCTGTCTTGCTAGAGTCGTAACAGCAGCCGGTATTTGCTGTTCTTTGACCCAGAAATAGGTTTATTAACCCGCGGCCCAAAGAACATCAATGTCTTTTCACAAAACAAGTAAAGGATAACTAACGTTGGACCTACTCCAGGGGCCTCAGCAGGTTAAGGAGAACCAGGGCCAGCATCAGGGTTTCCTGACTTCCAGCCAAGGTGCCTTTGGCCAGTGCACCATTGTACTCACTATTGTACGTGGGTGGGTGGGTGCGTGGGGTGCCTTGGGGACAAGGGTGAAGCAAGTTACCACATTCTGACTAATATTGTTAGATGGGGTGGTCGTGGCTGCATCTCCCACATGTCAACTAGTAGGAATTTTAGTTCTTAGGCAAGAAAGTAGAAGCCTGACATGGATCTGTAGGCTGATCTGTAGAGTGATGTTTTTTGGAAACATGAGCACATGGTAGATCTATAGGTTTCTTTTGAGATTATAGCACTTGGCAAAGTGATTGGATTATCCCCAGGTGCTCCGAAAGTTGTGGATTAATGGGATGTAAAGATAGTGGAGTTTTCCTTGTAACTTTTTGAATCCCCTTGTATTCCACCCCAACCCCCAGAGGGATCTTTTTTCTCTTTAGGGCGCAAGGGTTTATGCAGGCATATTTGGGGGTTGTATCTAAGGTGGGGAAGGAGTGGCGATCTGGTGGTGTTGCTATTTTCTGTTAATGCCACTTATTTATTCTTTCAGACCAAAGAGAAGTACGGGAAGGAATGCAAGGTAAGAAGGTCCTTTAAGGAGTAATGAGTTTACCTGGTTTTTCAAACCTTCCCGCAACTTGCTCCACTTTGAAGTCCTCTGTTAAAAGTAAATGAAGGAATGCTGGTGACACACTGGTTAAGCACTCCGAAAGACCCCCAAGCTATTCTGTGTGAACAGAAGCCTGGAAATCCTGGTCCACAAACAGCCTAGAGAATGTGGCCGCCTGTCCCAGGCAGTCTTAGAGGGTCGCTGGACTTGTACGGAAAGAGCCCTGGTAGTGCAGTAGGTTCAGCATCGGGCTGCTGACTGCGTTCAAGCGCACCAGTCGCTCCTCGGGAGAAAGATGAGGCCATCTGCTTCGGCAGCGATTCACGGGCTCTCTGCAACCATATTGCACAGTGCTGCTCTGTCATGTAGGCCTGAGTCGACAGCTGTCGGTTGAACTGTACACGGCAGAGGACACAGCTTGCACACAATGAGAGTAAACGTCCGAGCCACCTCACATTCACGAATCATTTATGCGCTCGCTGACGGGCACTGGTTATTGTGGGAGGTAAGAAAAGAAATAGAGTCCTTTGATGTCAAAGCTGTTTGGTGTGTGTGCGCGCCTTCATGTTAGTTCAGGTTACAGCACACCAATGCATATGTGTTTTCCTTTTGCTGTCAGGCCAGTATCTTTTAGTGTGGGCCAGCCAATGGACTATGCCAGGGTCTGTTTTTGTTTCTCACTGCCTTAATGTGGATTAGGTAGAGGGCAGCTCGTCAGTTATACTGAGCAGCTCCCTCCCCATCCCTCTCATGCCTTGCCCTCATTGCTGCATTTCCCCTCCTCTCTTTGTTGGATACTGCCTTCCCTTTCATCTGGGTTAACCCCTGTCTGCCTGCTAGCCTATGGTTTCCCTGCCATCCCTGGGCATCTTCAAAGTCTGTTTCCTTTCATGTGAAAACCCTTTCTTTTTTAAAAAACATCAAACGTATGATCGTATACTTGAGCCTTTTAGCTGAGGGGGAGATCATAGGGTCAGAGTATCCATGGCAGTTAATTCTTGGGGGGCGGGGAGGCTTTTTGAGTGTCTCGTTTCTGTTGTGTGGATTCTTAACTACTGGGGAGAAATAGCTCCCTGCGGTTGGGTCACTTATGACACGTAAGTGGCCCTGTTGGTCAGAGTAGAATTACCCCTTTGTGTTTCTGAAACTAAATTTTTACAGTAGCTGACAGCCTCAACTTTCTCCCAAGGAGTGACTAGTGGGTTCAAACTGCTGACCATGTGGTAAGCAGCCCACCTCTTAACCCACTACATCACCAAGGCTCTGTACCTACTAGGAACCAAAAAACCAAACTCACTGCCATAGAGATAATGCTGACTAACAGCGACCCCTTTGGGGGGTTTCCGAGACTGACTGTTTATGGGAGTAGAAAGCCCAGTCTTTCTCCTGCAACTACTGGGAAAGGGTGTGAATAGGGTAGAACCTTAGATCACATTGAGACTAGATGAGTGTTGTGGACTTCCAAACCCCGAGTTCAGGAATCTTTCTTCAGACCTTCTCTTGCTGGGTTGTGCGGTGGGGCCTTCACCCCCTGGGGCGCTTGCTTGCTGTTGCAGATCTGTGCCAGGCCCTTCACAGTGTTCCGGTGGTGCCCTGGGGTCCGAATGCGCTTCAAGAAGACAGAGGTGTGCCAAACCTGCAGTAAACTGAAAAACGTCTGCCAGACCTGTCTGTTGGACCTGGAGTATGGTACGTGTGTGCCTGCCAGCCAGATCGGAGCATGCGGAGGTCCGGGTGCCCCAGACAGCAACACGGTCTTTTGCTCCCACTTCTCACCCTCTCACTGGTCATCTGCTTGTCCCAGGAGGAAAACAGAATCACTGTAGGAACTTAAGAAAAGGCTGGGGATTAAGGAGAATCATCCCAACCTCCCCTATCTATGAATGGACTTCCAAGAGTTTGTGGGAAAACTGAATTGAAAGGTGATGGAATTTTTCCACAAACATTTTGGAATACCCTCATGTATTTGAAATTAGGGTCATTTCCTAGAACAGAGGCTCTGTAGCCTATGAGGCGGGTGGGACTAAGTCTTAGGACACATGTAATGCAGCTCTGGCACTGGAGGGGGTGGGGAAGGGCCCGGTGGTGCTAGAGACTGCACTGGGCATTCAGTGTAGCGAGTCCCTGGGCCGCGAGCATCCCACTCACGGACAACTCTTACTTGCCCTCAGTATTTTGTAACTTTGCTCACACTTTGAAACAATTATTGTAATCACCTCCACTTGCTGTGCAGGTTTTAAGAATTAAAAAGCTTTGATCCTTTCCTTGTGTTAAATCCTGCGACTGAGCTGATTCCAACACATAGCTACCCTGTAGGACAGCATGGAACTGCCTCATTGCGTTTCCGAGACTAAAAATCCTTATGGGAACAGAAAACCTCAACTTTTCCTGAGGAGTAACTGATGGATTCAAACTGCTGACCTTGTGGTTAGCTTAGTGCATATCCTGCTATGCTACCAGGATTTCGGCTACACTGCTCCTGTTCCAACTTAGCTATCAACTGGACTTCAAGCACACTTAGGAACGGATCTGGTTCAAAACCAGCGACTGTCTGAATAAACATGTTTTAAATATACCCTTGTTCCTTCCCTCTTTTCTCTTATTTCAGGGCTGCCCATCCAGGTTCGTGACGCAGGATTGTCTTTTAAAGATGATATGCCAAAGTCAGACGTCAACAAAGAATACTACACGCAGAACATGGAGCGAGAGGTGCGCACCCTTTCTCTATGGTGCTTATATTTAATGCGAGCATCTGAGGGAATTGGCAGGGGCATCTCTTTTGAACTTGTCCTTCCTGTCTAGATTTCTAACTCTGATGGGACACGTCCAGTTGGCATGCTGGGGAAAGCTACATCCACCAGTGACATGCTGCTCAAACTGGCCCGGACCACACCCTACTACAAGCGGAATCGGCCCCACATTTGCTCCTTCTGGGTGAAAGGCGAGTGCAAGAGAGGAGAGGAGTGTCCCTACAGGCAAGAACTGAACCGCGTTTGCGTTCGCTTCCCGGTGCTTCGCCATCCAAGAAGTGGGAGCTGCTAGCTCACGCTGTTTCTGCTGTGAAATCAGACAGCTGTTATATCCTTTCTTAGAACTTTGTCCTGAGAAGAGCTAGAGCAAATTATGGCTTGCCTGTTTGGTGAGCCTTGGACACTAAGATGCTGTGCCACATAATGAAGATGCTGACCCTACAAGTTCCTACCTGCAGTGTGACTAGACTGCGTGGTGTAAATGACTTGACTCCCAGTGTGCAGGTGCAGTCAGGTCAGGCCAGACTCCTAGAGGATGAGGGAGTAATTTTAACTTGGAAATTGGTTAATGCTTAGCCCGACACATTTCTCCCCCAGATCGAATATTATACATGGGGACTTTAAAAGGGTCTCAGAAAAACGGAATGCAAAGGCCATGGGGTTTTTCAGTGAACAAGCAGAAGTCCCCTTGTCTGTCTTTTTGATCAGATTCTTGATAGAATACGCAATAGCTTAAAGCCCTTTAACCATGTGTCTCCTCACTAGAGCTCATTATGCTGAAGCCATGTTTCCTGTGAAATCTCTGGCACCTTGTGGTGACTGTCCAGATGGCTTCTGGGAGGCTAGTTTATTCTCGTTTGATAGAAGAATCCCTTATGTTGATAGTAATGTTAGTGGCTATTTGATAATCTTTTTGGTATGACTGGTTTCTAGTTCAAAAGTCTTTTCAGGGTATACATTTGAGATTAATATTACAGCTCCTATTGGATGATAAGTTGTTTATAAAAATTCCCTTTGTCTTCTCTGTGCACATTGTTTTCTCTTGATCCGTAGACACGAGAAGCCTACAGATCCAGATGACCCCCTTGCTGATCAGAACATCAAGGACCGCTACTATGGCATCAATGACCCCGTGGCTGATAAGCTTCTAAAGCGGGCGTCAACAATGCCTCGTCTGGACCCGCCGGAGGACAAGACCATCACCACGTTGTATGTTGGTGGTCTAGGCGACACCATTACTGAGACAGACCTAAGGTTTGTGGCAACACTTCGGGGAGCTCTTTGAGCTTTTAATGCCCCTGGAATCATTTTTGACAGAAGCACAGACGGGCCTGGTACTGGTCCACACAGGCTCGGTCGAGCTGACTAGAACGTGCACACTGGCTGTTCTGTTGCCATAGTCGTGTGGATCGCGTGCACGCCGTCCTTGTGCTTGATGAGAGTGGCACGGGGCTCTGATAAGGGGGGCCGATGTCTAAGCATGGCTAGCTGTGCAAGGACAGGGAACTGGGGGATTATAAAATTTAAGGTTTAAACGGTTAGTTTTAAAAGAGACTGGTGTTTGGTTAATTTGTATCCTGTTTCTGTTGAAGAGATATCTAGGCAGGCCTCTTCCTCCTTGGGAAAGGCCCTGAGATAATCCACAGCCCTTTTTGTTCCCATTTTACTTTTTTTCTCTCATTAGGCAGCACCCACAGTAGGGTAAGATCTTTAGGCAAGAAGGAGTCCTGATGGCACAGTGGTTAATCCGCCAGGTTGCCAATCAAAAAGGTTGGTAGTTCGAATCTACCAGCGGCTTCCAGGGAGAAAGATATAGCAGTCTGCTTCCAGAAAGGTTCGTGTCCTTGGAAACATTTGGGCAGTTAGACTGCTCTGTGAGGATGGTGAGGACCGGGCAGTGTTCTGTTCTCTGTTTCAGTGGGTTGCAGTGAGTCAGAGCCAACCTGATAGCCCGTAACAACAACCGTGTCCTAAAGTGGGTGCTGTGAGTCTTGAAATGGGCTCGACGGTTTTGGTGCTGTTTTGTTTTTAGTTAGACAAGTAACTCTGGGGCCTCCCTGCCTGCTGGTGAGTTAGGGAAAGAGTTGCTCATTCACTGCGTCCATCTCGGGAATGCCTGTGTATTGCTTACTCTTGCTTTTCTCTGACCGCCTCCTAGAAATCACTTCTACCAGTTTGGAGAGATCCGGACGGTCACTGTCGTTCAGAGGCAGCAGTGTGCCTTCATTCAGTTCGCCACCAGGCAGGCCGCAGAGGTGGCTGCTGAGAAGTCCTTTAATAAGTTGATTGTCAATGGCCGCAGACTCAATGTGAAATGGGGCAGGTGAGACCTAGACACGTTTCATGGACTTTACTGACTTTTATTTTCTAGGGCCTGGCACACATTTAGCAAAAAGGTTTATATGAATAGGCTCTTTAAAAAGAACTTTTAAAAACTCTCCATCTTAGACTGAGCATAGTAGGTTACTTGTTGGGCTGCTAACCCCAAGGGAAGCAGTTTGAAACCACCAGCCTCTCCACAGGAGGAAGGGGAGGCTTTCTACTCCCAAAAAGAGTTAAACGTCTCGGAAACCCACAGGGCACTTCTGCCCTGCCCTATCAGGAATCGACTTGATGGCAGGGAGACATGATGCCCTAGAGCTGTTCCGACAGTGATGCTTTGAAAATGTTTTCAGCATCTTCGTGGATAATCTATGAAGCCATATTTTTGCAACCACCTGTTATAGTTAAAATGTTCTGCTAAGAAGTAGAAAGTAGATTTGTGTGTTTACACACGAATTAAACCTAGATTATACCCTGTGGAGAGGTTGACTATCTAGTGGAGGTGCTAAAACAGGATCACCAATGTGAGTTTCAAAGTGCAGGCTGCTTGGAAGAGACACAGGACAAGCTGCTCTGGGATTTGGAAGGGCAAGCGGGTTTCCAGCCTGGAGCCTGGCGGGAGACTCACTGGTGGCAGTGCTTTCTCTGTGCCGAGCATGGTGCTGCACACCAATAGGCTGCCTCTTCTAGAGCTCACCCCCAATAGTGCCAGCAAGTACGTTTGGCTTCAAACTCTTGATCGCTCCCTCTGCATGGTAGCTTTTATGGGGAAAGAATGTTAGGTGAGGAGGAAGTAAAACGTGCAGGTGCCTCAGTGGAGGGCAGAGAGGAGAGATGTGAGCCGGGTGGATAAAGTGCTGATGGTGGGTGACTGTCCCTAGATCCCAGGCTGCCCGAGGAAAAGAAAAGGAGAAGGACGGAACCACAGACTCTGGAATCAAGCTCGAGCCCGTGCCCGGGCTGCCAGGCGGTGAGTGCCGACTTCTGTGGACCCCACAGCTTGCCCACTTGCGGTGCTCCATCTGCCCCGAGCGTGTGCATTTACTCTGTACACAGCTGAGAGGTGGAACCTCCTGTGGCAGCCCATTCCCCCAGCAGGACCGTGGAGGGTCTAAAGAAGGGGGGAGCAGTGATGCATGCATAAAGTGGTCTCCTCTCTGCCCGATTTCTTTCCTGCAGCTCTGCCTCCTCCTCCTGCGGCTGAAGAAGAAGCCTCTGCCAACTACTTCAACCTACCTCCGAGCGGTCCTCCAGCTGTGGTCAACATCGCCTTGCCTCCGCCCCCTGGCATCGCCCCGCCCCCGCCCCCAGGTAACCTCCAGCGTCCGCCTTAGTAAGCAGATGGAACTTCCTTAGCCCAGAGAGCGCCTCACCATCCAGTCTGGTCCATCTGAATTCTCTGGGTTTGTCCTGGAAAACTCTTTACCTTGAAGTAGCTATTGTATAATGAGAGCAGAAGCGGCTGACTGCACTTGGGCCCAGTAAACTGAACCCAGACTGATGCTGTAGTGCATTCCTCCTCTAACTGCGGCAGTGAGCGTGACATTTCACCTTTGCTCGGAAAGCCTTAACACAGAAAAATTGTCAGGTGAAGCCAGCCTTGTGCTTGGGAACGTAAGGGACTTAAATTTTGGCTCACACTCTGTCTGGCTAGCGGACTGGCCCTGTGTGTAGCATGCTCCGAGGGGATGTCAGTGACAGCAAACCGGCTAAGTTAGTCCTGAGTAGCTGCCCCCTGTGCTCCTGGTGCCAGAGTTCCCGTACTGCTGGGAGAAAACCCCGGATTCTGAACTCTCTCCAGTCTGGTATAGGATACTGAGCTTAAGGACACCAGGGCCTTAAGCCTGATTTCTTCCATACCGCCTGAGTCCAGTGAGCCCTTCTTCTGCCTGGGGGGTCTGGCGTGTGTGGAGACATACGAGGAGGTGCCTTGAGCCCTGTAGATCCGGAAAGTAGCACAGTCGAAGCAGTGTGTGCACTGGTGCTCTGTTCTGCCCCCTGTGGGGGGGGTGTCTGTGGATGGGGTTCTGACCTTAGGGAAACTCTTGGGTACCAGACACCGACAAGAGCTCTGCAAGCCTGACCCCTTTCTTCTCTTCCACCTGCAGGGTTTGGGCCACATATGTTCCACCCCATGGGACCACCCCCTCCTTTCATGAGGGCTCCAGGACCAATCCACTACCCTTCTCAGGACCCGCAGAGGATGGGAGCCCACGCTGGCAAGCACAGCAGTCCCTAGCACACCGGTGCCACAGGGGAAACGGCGCTTAGCGAACTCCAGGAATGGGTCTTGGATTAAATCTATTTTCCCGTCTTTGTAGTCTCCCTGGTAGCTGAATGCGGTCAGATGTGGGGCAGTCAGAGCTGCAGCCGGCCTCTCATGTTGAAGGACTGACGGAGCTCCAGTAAGCTGCCCGAGCAGTCAGGCGTTGCTCTCACATGACTAACGAGACCTGAGGAGTGCTCCCCCCGCCCCAGCTGTGTGGGGGGCGCCTGCGAGTTGTCATCCCAACTACATGTTCGTTTTTTACTTTTGGGGGGGTGGGGTGGGGGGCTTGACCTGCAGTCCAAAACAAAAAACTTTTGTCCATTTTTCTGTCCATTGGGTATTTTCCTTTTTCTTATCTAAGAAAGATAACCAGGACTAATCATTGTAGAGACCTGAGTGGGACTTCCTCGTCCAAAGTCACACCTTGGGAAGAAACCAGCATCTTCTCCTCATTCCTGCCCGAGAAATCCGACTGTGGTTTGACTTCGCTGTGCCGCCACCAAGAAAGATGCAATGGCCGGACGCGCCGCCAAGTCATAAGGAAATGCGAATTTGTGGAGCCCGGTGTCTGGAATCAAAATGATTTAAAACACCTGTGAAACCAGCAGGCTTGGCGTGTTTGTGTGTGCCTGGAAGCCGCAACTCGGCTGGGCCTCGGATCTGAAACACTGGCCTTCATGCGTCTTCCCTGTGCTGTGCAGGGGCGAGCAGTGTGGTCCTGGAGCCTTTGGATAGAGCTAGCTGAGGCGTAGATGGTCAAGGAAATGTAATGTGTTTCATTTTGTTTTAAAATAATTAAAACGGGTCAGTTTTCCAAATGTTCTAGATCTCTGTTTTCTTTATTTGTGGGTGGAAATTGGAAACAAGTTATATGTAAATGTTTTTAAAATACTTCTTTAGACTTTTGTCTTTTATCTCTGTATTCATTCCATACTAATTAAGCAATGGCCCGGGTCTTTTTTAGGACTTGTGTGAAAGGTTGCTGTGAGGTTGAAGTAGATAACTGATAGAAGGCACTCATGCAAAGCCCAGCACGTGCTGTATGACAAACGATCGCTTCAAAAATACCCTCCTACAAGTCATTTTGAAGGGAGCAGGTAAAACGTGTGTGTGGTTCCGTCTGCCAGGAACCAGGGTTGCGGCACTTTTACCTGAAGAAATGCAGCTGTCTTAACAGCCCCCGTTTTACTCTCTCGGGGTTTTCTTCTAGAACAGTGGTTCTCAACCTGTGGGTCTCGAGGGTCGAACAACCCTTTCACAGGGGTTGCCTAAAACCATCGGGAAACAAATATTTCACAATATATAATTACATATTGCTTTGTGATGAATCACTATGCTTTAACTGTTCAACTTGTAACAATGAAAATATATCCTGAATATCAGATATTTACATTGTGATTCATAACAGTAGTAAATTTACAGTTAAGTAGCAATGAAAGTAATTTTATGGTTGGGGGTCACCACATGCGGAACTGTATTAGAGGCTCACGGTATTAGGAAGGTTGAGAACCACTGCTCTAGAGGGCTTTACACTCCCTCGAGTTATTGAAATCCATGTAGGGAACTGCAGTGCATTTCGAGTACTGTCGGGTGAAGCAAGACAGCCTACATCCCTGATGGTTGCTGCTTGTGTCTTGGTTTTGTCTCTTGAGCACATAAAAGATTTATAACCAACTTTAAAAACGTGTGAATCCTATGTGTAGTTTTTTATTAATTGCCATGTTTAATTATTTTCTATGTGTATAAATGTATCCAACTATATTCTTGCCTCTGAGCAAGAAGTCTAATGTTCATGTTGGAGTTTTAAACATTAAGAGCCAAGACCAGCATAAACAACGGTATGGAATAGGTATTCAATTGCTAAGTGCCGCTGAGTCAGGTCTGGCGAGGCGTAGCTGCCCTGTCCCGTACCATCTTCACAATGAGTGTGTTGAGGGCCTTCCTCTCGCTGACCCCGGGACAAGCACCATGTCCTCAAGGACTGGTTCTGCTGAAGAATGTCCAGAGTGCGCACCACACGGAGGCTCCGCGTCTTTTACAGGAGCTTTCTGACTGAGGCAGAGGAGGTCTTTGTTCTGCAAGACATAATGTATTAAGCAGTCTTCCCAACACAACAACCCCAAGGCATCGATTCTTCCGTCGTCCTTCGTCATCGTCTTGCTTTTGCGTGCATCAGAGGAAATGCCACAGCTTGGGCCAGGTAGACCTTAGTCCTCAGAGTGACATCTTTGCTTTTACAGAGATCTTTACAACCCGTTGGCCCAATGCAGTATGTCATTTGATTTCTTGACTGCAGCTTCCATGCTTGTGGATGGATGCAGGTGAAGTGAAGTCTTGAGAGTGTCAGTCTTTTCTCCATCACGTCCCAGTTTTGATGTCTGTGTTGTGTAATTCACAGTTCATCAGTAAGTGGCTCAAGGTCTCTTCACTTGGAACAAGTAAGGTTGCGTCATCTGTCTGTCAGGTTAATAAGCCAGCCTCCAAGCTTGATGTCATGTTCTTCACCGAGGGCGGTTTCTGGTTTATTTGCTCAACAGAGTAAAACTCCAAAAATTATAGACTTCCATCAAGTCATGCCAACTTGAGACCCTATAGGGCAGGTAGAACTGCCCCCGGGAGTGTCCGAGACTCTTTCTGCCACTCAGAGACAGACTGAATAAATAATGGCAATAGGCTGTAAGGCAGGAGTCCCCAAACTATGGCCCGCGGGCCACATGTGGCCCACCGAGTGTTTTTGCTGCCACTACCTGTCCTGCTTAGCAGCTGACTCGTCCAGTGTGCATAGGAGTTTGTTCATAGTTTGTTTGTTTTTAACTGTAGTCCGGCCCTCCAACGGTTTGAGGGACAGTGAACTGGCCCCCTGTTTAAAAAGTTTGAGGACCCCTGCTATAAGGGATGCACATCTGATTGGGACCACTCAGCATCTCCCCTTTATGTTTGTCCATTTACATGCAGGTACTTCATAGGCACAACGAAGTGTTTTGGAATGCCCATTCTTTGCGATGGCCAAAATTTGTAATGTTGAGTGCCTTTGTGTAACCAATGAGACGCAGTAGCAAATATTTTTCTGGTGTTCTCTGCTTTCAGCCAGGATCCCTCTGACATCAGTAGTGATTTCCCTCATCCCATGGCCTCGTGAATCGGCCTTGAATTCCCAGCAGTTCTCTGTAGATGGAGTGCTGCAACCACTTTAAAATCATCTTCAGCATATTTTTAACTTCCGTGTGGCATTGAGATCATTTGCTACTTTCTGCATTTTCTGGGTCATCTTTCTTTGAAATGAGCACAAATATGGGTCTCTTCCAAATTTCTTTGCATAGACTAGTTAGTGCTTCCAGCACTGCACCAATTTTTGAAACATTTGGCCAACTCCTGGCGTTCTCATTTTTTGGCCAATGCAGCTTGGAGGTCTCCCATGCCCTCAGTTCTGGCTCAGACTGCCCTCTAAAAAGGCTGGCGTGGAGTATTCTCTGGTGCAGGGACTGCACTTCTTCCATTTTCTTCTGAAGCTGCCTGCGTGTTTCAGTGTTTGCCCACAGCCTTCTTCAACACAGCCACGCATCGTTCGAAGTGTGAGGTCCTTCAGCTTGAGAAGTGCCCATTCTGCCCTTTGGTTTTCTATCAACAAACGTTGACAGTCATCTTTGATGCTGTCTTCTCAAGCTGTGGTTGGAAGTCTGTTCAACTCCGTCCTTCATTTTTTCTGTTCATTTTGAATATTCTATATTCAAAGGCAAGTTTCAGAGTCTTTTTGCTTCCATTTTGTGCCTTCCTTTTTGATGACTTTTCCTTTCGTCAGCACCATTTCTTTTTTTCCCCAATCATTTTATTAGGGGCTCATACAACTCATCACAATCCATACACACATCAATTGTGTAAAGCACATTTGTACATCATTCTCAAAACATTTTCTCTCCACTTAAGCCCCCGGCATTAGGTCCTCATTTTTCCCCTCCCTCCCCGCTCCCCCCTCCCGCATGAGCCCTTGATAGTTTATAAATTGTTATTTTGTCATATCTTGCCCTGTCCGACGTCTCCCTTCACCCACTTTTCGGTTGTCTGTCCCCCAGGGAGGAGGTCACATATAGTTCCTTGTAATCAGTTCCCTTTTTCCTACCCACTCTCCCTCTACCCTCCCTGTTTCGCCACTCACACCACTGGTCCTGTAGGGCTCATCCGCCCTAGATTCCCTGGATTTCCAGTTCCTATCTGTACCAGTGTACATCCTCTGGTCCAGCCAGACTTACCATTTCTATCGCCAACGCCACATGTTCCAACTGTTGGGTCTTTTTGTTATTTCTAATTTTCCTGTTCTATCCCAGCACCTAGCAATGCTTCCTGAGTTCATGTTTGGCCAATTTCAAACTGCAGAAATTGCTAAAAATAAAAAAATCCATTTCTTCATCTTGGGCATTCGTGCGCGGTTCGTAGATTTGAATGACGGATCTTCCTTGTGGGCATATGACTATCGTCCTCACATGAGCAGTGTTGGACTTCAGGATCTTGAAATGTTCTTTTTGGAGATGAGTGTAGCACCATTCCTCTTCAATGAGTTGTTCCTGGCCCGGTGGACTATATGATGGCCAGTCCATCCCCACTTACTGATGCCTGGGATACTGATATCTAAGCTTTCCATTTCATTTCAAATGACTTCTAATTTTCCTAGATTCACACTTCATACATTCCAGATTATATTTATTTACGGACGTCTGCAACTACTTCTCGTTTTTTGAGTCAGGCTGAGTCAGCAAATGAAGGCCCAGGAGTTTAACTCCACCCACACCATTGAGGTCCCCTCTCCATTGAGGCAGCTCTTCCTCAGTCATTATCTATCTATCTATCCATGTATCTATCTATCTAATCTAATCTAATCTCTGTCTCTCTCTCTCTCTCTCTCTCTCTCTCTCTCTCTATGTATCTATCTATCTGAGGGAAGATTTTCCTAATTTTCTTTTGTTGAGAGCATACATTGTAAAGCATCGTTTCTACATTTACAATTTGGTGAGACTAATTACATTCTTGCAGCTGTACAATCACCCTCTCTTCTCATTAACAAATGCATCACCCCCATACAGTCTATTGTGTATTGTGAATTTGATCCCTCACAGACTGGTGTTAGAATACCATACTGCTCGGGCAGGCTGTCTTTTTAAGAGGACATCAGGGAATGTTTTTGGGTGAAGAAGAAAGATGTTAATATCATTCCAGATAACTGAGTAGACTTCGTTGATACAGCACCCACACTGGACAAATGGTGGTTTCACCAGTGCTTTTTAAAAGCGTACATTAAAATCAATTGGACTCTCACTTATAATAGATTTCCAAGTAATCACACGTGGACGATGCTGGCTCACCTGCTCAGGCATATTCTGCGTGCCTTCTGACCTTCGGGCTTATCTGCTGGCAGCACGCCTGACAATGGTCACCGCTTATTCATAAGGTTTTCACTGGCCTTTATATTTTTGTCTTTTTTTCAGAAGTAAATCACCAGGTCCTTCTTCCTATGTTTAGTCTGGAAGCTTGTGCAGAGCCTGGGTGACCCTGCTAGTGTCATATCACGTCATTAGTATTATTATACCAATGACGTAGCATCACAATACCACACAAGCCCCCACAGTAAACAAACTGATAGATAAGCGTCAGACATCAAGGGTGTCTGTTCTCAGGCACTCTGTTCTGTTCCAGGTATCTTTTGTTGGTCTTTATTTGGCATATTAAAAAAATGCTTATTATGCTTTACATATCAGAACATGCACCAGTTCAACAATTTCCACACGCACAGGTCAGTGACACAGTCTCGCACAGTTTTGGTCATGCA